TATATATATATATAAATAAAATGATACAACCTCAAATGCTTATTGCAGTATTCTGTATCAAAGACAATGATGTATTCAAATCTAAAAACTAAAAATCTACTAGCTCATGTTCCATCTGCTTAATAAAAGAAGGGTAAAATATAGTTTAAATCCACAACAACCAGATAACATTAGGAAGCGGCTCAGACACCTCCCTAATTCACTGAACTGAAAGTGCTAATAACACTGCAAGTTTTTATTATAGGCAATCTCAATAAAAGTAGTTTTAGCCTTCCTATGAAGTTGATTTTTTGGTCTGGTCTACCTAGAACAGCTGACATCTTGCAAGTCTGATTATGTTGTACTTCCTTCTATTACTTATACTTCAGTGAACTGGGGAGGTTTCTGAGCATTACTGTTGCTGTTACCTGGCTATTGTGAACTTAAACTGTTTTATCCCTTGTTGCCTTGGCAGTGGAGTTTGCATATCTTTGTCAAGGTCATCTTCCTTACTCTCTACAAAATAAATAGATATTCCTGGCCAGGTTTCAAGGAGTCTCGGGTTTTAAATTTGCCCCTTCATTCTATTCTTCATGGTTGTCTTGTGTAACACATAACATGCTGTTGGAAAAGAATGGGTGAAAACAGGAATTGAGTAGCCCTGCCTTTTCTTTCTACTTGTTATCATTGAGCAGTTGATTCATTTGTCTTCCTTTTATTTCTTCCTCTCTAAAGAAGTCCTTTTTAAAATTGTTCTTGGCATCCTTCTCCCAATCACAGTTCATTCCAAGGTTTAGCTTTCCTGAGACTGTCTGTATAATTCTGCACTCTTCATATGCCCTCTACCTTGATGACCTCTCCCTCTTCCCACATTCTCAGCGAGTCCTTTTTTATTTATTTCATTATTCTTTTGTTTGTGTAGCCTGATTGATTTTTTTCTGTTGCCTGCCTCTATTTCCTCACTGGAGTTCTTCCTTTTTCTTTTGGTCCTCCTGTTGCAAATCATGGGAAGGAAAAGATCTCAATACACCAAATGACTGGTCTAAAATTAGTTTAGGCCAGGAATGGACAGAAAGGTTAAAAGAATTTAGGATGCTAGGGTTGGGATTTTTTGACCTCAGAAAGCACCAGCTACCAAAACTGGCAAGAGAGTGGAATAGGATCTCTATAACTAAATTCTTCTACTCCAAAATCCCAGACTATATGAGTGGAATATAAAAAATCCTAAAGTATCTGTGATATTACCATAACACCCATAAGGTAGTATTCTTATATTCTAAAGTGCTAATAACACTGCAAGTACTCAATGACCTTTAAAAATTCTGTGCTGAAGACAGTGAAAGTCAGGGATGTGCTTGGCATAAGTATTTACAGCTTTTCAGTTCCGGGTACCAAAAGATCCCTTTTCAGTCTTACATTTCCTTTTGGTTCTATTATGTTTTTGTGTTCGTATAAATATCCTTGCTTTTCTTGTCAGTTGATAAATCTTATATAAATGTTGTCTGTAAAGAGTTTTTAAGCACAGAAGCAATGCTACATGTGAGGGCAAAACACCAACACTGCCCAAGTGTTAGCAAAGACAAATTAAGGCTATGCAGTTATTTGAATTTGAAAGGTAAAATGTGATTTGTAACACTGTTGGAAACACATATAGCAGCTGCATCTTTTTCAGGACTTGTGCAAATTCCATGAAAATACATGTTTCATTTAAAATGTTCCCAACTGGTATATTACATGCTCCAAATCATATTCTGCTTTCATGTCTGGAGTGCTACACAGCCCTAATACAAGTTACAAGTGAATACACTGTCTGTTGCAAGTTAGCTTTATAAGGAAAACATATGCTAGCTGATTGCATACAGTATCAAACTCTTGGAGTATACATGCTAATATTTTTTAATCAGATTTTAAGCAGCTTAATTTTAGCCTTTTTTACGGCAATGATGAAGAATAACTTTGAGGAACCTATACATGCAGTTTTGAACACCTCAAAACACCCTGTTTTAAAAAAAGCAAAATGTACTCTCTTTCAAGGGAGAAACTTGATAATTCTTTTACTTTCAATTTTGTTTTTCCATCTTTTTGACATTACCTGTATTCATTTATTTTTCACTAATATAGGGAAAATAAAGAAAATTTGAGTCTTAAAATGTTTCTGTAACTCGATCATGAATTATCTTTTTATTATTTCTCTTTAACACATAACATGTTCCTCCTTTGACCCTCATGTTCCCTTTTCTCTTTTTCTTTCTTCTCTCCCTCCTCCCGCCCCATATCCCTCCTGTTTTCCATGTATCCTGGCGGTTTTATGTTGGCTTCCCCTCTTCCTTCCTTCCACCCATTGATTCTTCTTTAACCCACCCAACCTGTTGTTCCCCTTACTCTCTTCATTCGCAGCTTAGAGATGGCTAAATTCAGCACCCAGACTGCTTCCATCATGACCCCTGTTGACCTCAACATGAATCTTTCTCAGTCTGCCACCCCTACCTCCACCCCCACCTCTGTGGCTGTCTTGGCTGCATCAGCAACTGTTCCCATGGTTAATGTTAGCACCCCTTCCCCTTTACCAGCTTTATCAACCACCCACTATGCTGTTCCTGTTTCTAATCTGCTTGGCATGAAAACTGTCTCACTTTTGGCATTAAATGCCACAGGAAATGTATCTGCCTATACAACTAAAATTCCATCAACAAGTGAAATTAAGAAATCTGACCGCCAAAAGTTGGCTCCATATTGAAAGGTGTCATGGATTTTTTTTTCAACAACTCCACTAGGACTCTGGTAAATTTATTCTAAGAAAACAGTACGGCATTTTTTACATTCCTTCTGTTCATACATTATTACACAAAGGATGCCATTGCAAGTTTTCTTTCATCTTCTATTACTATTTTAATGGCTGTGCATATTTGAATTGCCAGCTAGTTCCAACAATCTCCTAGATTATTTAAAATATACTCATAAAATTAACTATTTTTTCATCCTCACCAGACTTTCAATTAAGATTTTGAGTCATAAGGGGAATACCAAAGACAGGCTTGAAAGATTTATTCAGTTAGGGTGCCCAAAAGAGATTTCTGCAATAACAGCTATAATGATGATAATTATCTACAGGTGAAACTCGAAAAATTAGAATATCATCCAAATGTTCATT